GGCTGCAGCTTATCAGCCCTTCGGGTGGCCGTAGAAGTGCACGGAAAGAAAATTCAGCTGGCTGCTGTGAGGGTGTAACATCCTGTTTCTTACCCTGATGCAGAGCAGGAGCCGTTTCATTACCTTTGTATAGCTCGCCTGATTTCAAGGACAATTAAGATCATTTCCCTCACGTGGTTTTCTGCCAAGTAAATTGAGATTTGGGATTTTGCCTGTCCCAAAAAGGGCAGTTTAATTGCTACCCTGCCAGAAAAGAATAAGGGAAGAGGGAGGCGAGGAGGCTACCCATCTCCCTGCCCACATGTTGTGGTTAAAAAGGAGCCAGTGTGCGGCTTTGGAAACCGCTGGATTTTTTCTGAGCTCAGGAACATTCTTTGCAGACTGAAAACAAACTTCAGGAAACACACGGAGAAGAGGAGGCTGGGTTTTCACATGGACAGTGAAAACACTACAGAAATGTGAGGTGACCTACTTACTCAGAGCCTCCGTGAGTTCATATTAAAGAAAACATTCGTCTTTCATCTCTCTGCCCTTGCGTTGCCAGCGCCGTGACCCTGGGCTCGCAGGGTGAAAGCAGCCCCTGGAGCGCACCTCTGCTCCGAACACGCTCGCTCCGGCGCGCCCTGCGCACGCAGCCAGTGCCTGCCTCCTCCCGGCCAGCTCCCCCCGAGCCGGGCTGCCCGAGGCGGGGAGGAGGCTGCTCTGGTGGCTTTGGCCACCGTGGCAGCATCCCGGGCTGGTGACAGAGTGCTCGTGGGCTTGCTGGGCGGCAGCTCAGGGGCTTGAGTTGGGCCAGGACCAAGGAACGCGCAGGAGAAACGGTGAAGGAAAGAGCGAGGTTTCTCCCCAGCCAGGGCACCGCCGTTATTCCCAGCTCACACTGCTCGCCTCCTCATCATCAAGCTGAGCCATCGCTTTACCCCGTCCCGTTAAAACACCTCAGAAATGGTGTAAATAATTCAGGAGGGGAGTCGGTGGCTGCCTGCAGGAGATGCTTAGGGAGGATGCTGGGGCAGCCACGACCCCTGGCCAGGCACTGTCATCTCCACCTGCTCCTGGCCACAGCCACTTCGGGGCGATGCACAGCAGTGCTGGAGCAGCCCCGAAACAGGGCAGACCCGAAGGAGGCAGACCCTGGCAGAGCAGCGTTACTGAGCATCCATTTGACGGGATACATCCATCATTCCTCAAATCAGGTCTCCCACAGTCCCACACAGTAACATCCCCGATCACCCCGGTGCTGCAAGGAAGCCTAAAGGGGTGGAATAAGTGTCTTTTGGGAACCCCATCTCCAAAGGCCCCCACCTTGTGGGCATGGCACCAAGATTAAAGTTTGATTCTCTGTGGCATTAGGCATAATCCTCCCGAGCCAAGGGATTCCACACAGCGCCTTAAAAAGGGCAAGCGGAAAGTGGGGCAGGGAAGGGGGAACGCCCCAAGCTCTCCTGCTGCCCCTGGCCACCCGGGGCAGGGGCCCCTGGGGACACCCCAGCAGCTCCGGGGCCGCTCAGGACAGCAGGGTCCCCTTCAGACACACACTCTTGCTTGGCACCATCTGTTTCATTTTCTTACGAGTGCAGCAGTTGTCACCCCAATTAGTCAATTAATCATTTTCCAATCAACTAATTGGCTAATCAGTTAAACACGGCTCTGACTAAAGCCCCTGGAGATCGTCCTGGATGCGAGCAAGGAGCTTTTGGGGCAGCTTCATCAAAAGCTAGCTGCTGGCAAACAGCACAAGGGCATCTGGGGAAGCAAACGGGCTGCTGCTGGGGTAGGAATTTCCTCTGCATTTCCTGGAGGAAGGAGACCATCTCCAAGCACTCCGGGCTTCAGCCCCTCCGACCCACCCGTACCCTTCCCACAGGGTGCTGGCTTGCTCAGCACTCACCATCCTCATCCTCTGGCTCTCTCACCACCAGCTTCTCGTTTTCTGAGTCTGGATCTTCCTCCTGGAGGAGTTAAAAACAGAGCAGCCATGAGGAGAAAGCGCTGTGCTAAGTAACCTGTGCTCAGCCAGGGCACCAGAGCCCGCAGGGCAGGGAGGCAGAGACTGGAGGTCCCGAGGGCTGGGCACCCCTTCCCTGCCTCCTTCACGGATTAGGCCAAGACGATGTTCCTTAGTCTGCTTTGTTCTTGTGTGCCCCCAGGCTGGGCTGGGATGGACCATCCCAGCGCTAGGAAAAGGCAGGTCCCTGGCAAAAGCCACCTTGCAGCCATGGGCCAAGCAGCTGCTCCGAAGCACAGGGGCACTGGGCAGCTGGACCAGTGGCCGAAGGCAACACCAGGGGGTTCGTGCTGGGACCCCGCCAGGAGCCCTCCCAGCCTCACCTGGCAGCAACCCCCCGAGACGCCGCTGGCCGCTGCCCTCGGCCCCCCCGGCCCCTCGCTCCCGCGAGACGTGCCGGCCCGCACGCACCGCGGTGGCACAGCTGATCTCTGGAGCACAGAGAGGAGCAGCAACAGCACATTGTTTTTTATAAATGCAAAGCAATGTTGGAAGTTTTGGGGGTTGCCTCCTACAGGCTACAACAAGCTTTATCAAGCCCAGATTCCTTCCCCTTGTGGTGCACATAGCAGAGTCATGCAAATGGCAAACAGGGAGGGAGAGGACTGCTCCAGCTCTGGAGATAAGACAGGGACACATGGCAATGCCCCCACGTACGTGCCTTCCTCCTACAAAGCACAGCACCCAGCACCCTGGCTGCGAACCCCCGTGAGCGAGCCCGGAGGTCGCCAGCACCCCGGAGCACGCGTCCTCCCACGTCCTCCCCGGCCCCATGCATTTGATTCGAAGTGATGGGGCTGGCGTGCAAAGGGCAGAGCCCATGGGAGAGAGGGGAAGGAGCATGGAGGGAGCCTGGCAAGCCGCCACACTGTTGAGGACAAGGGAAAAGTCGGAGTGAAGGAGACCTGAGGGAAACGAAGACGGTCCGAGAAGGACCCTGCGCAGAGCCCAGCGCTGGCTTTGCAGTGCGTGGCTTTAGATAAACTGCTGGAGCGCGGTATGCAGCCTCGACCCAGAACTAGGTTAGTTTGTCATCGGTGAGGAATGCGCATTATTCACAGCCATTTGGCTTCTTCTCGCCACCCTGCTCCCGGGCTCCCCAGAAGGACACGCCGCCGAGACCCCCGCCCCCTGCAGCCACCGCTATTTTGGGCCACGCTTCCAAACATGGGCACTTCCCGGTGGACACCCGGGCTTCCCCCGGGGATCGCTGAGAGCGGGGCAACACCCAAAGGAGAGGCCTCAGGGAGGGCGCGGGGAGGCGATGCCCAGCCCTGGCCTGGGGACTCGGGCAGTGGTTCCCCATCACATCCCTCTCTCCCTGTGCGCTGGGATGCCCCCAGGGAGACTGGACCCTCCAGGAACCGGCACAAGGGATATTTTAGCCTGTTCCCTGCCCGGGATATTTTAGCCTGTTCCCTGCCCAGGCATTAGGTACTGAGCATTTCTGAGCATTTAACAGTGGAAGCAAGTAGGAAATTTGGGTGCCAAACCTCCAAGGAAAGAAAATATCTCTGCTCCAACCCAGAGGAAGAAACATTTGATGGGAGCAGAGAGGGAGCAGCCGGGATGCCAGGCTGGCAGGTGGCAGCAACGTGCCATGGCCGTGGCTGTGCTGGGAACCCCCCTGCTCGTGGCAGTCGGTAGCTTGCTGCAGCACAACATCTTTCTGCACGGATGGCTTAGAGGCAGATGCCAGCACCTCCCTTCCCCCCTCCACTGCAGCCCCGGCCTCGACACCCTGTCCTCTGCCTCGCCGGGGCTGCTCGCTCCCTTGCAGCCATCGCTGCCCCACCGCCAGAGCCCCCTGGCTGCCTTGGCACGACCCCACTCGCTGAGGCCCCAGGAGCCAGGCATCACTCCCTGCACACCCGAGAAGCACATTTGCACCCGGAGCACTGTTTCTCTCTGCTTTAAATGGACCAAGCCATTAAAAGCCCACTCAACCCGCCCTGGGGGAGTGCAAGAGGCAAGCTTTGCCCTCCCCGCCACCCCGGCCACTGCTACCCTGGACAATGTCCCATCCATGCAGGGACACCAGCACACTTTCCCCAGGCTGGCTCTCCATCCCACGCACCTCTGCCTTGCTGGAAAGCGTTGCATGGCCGCATCCATCCTCCGCTTGTCCCGTGTGCCCGAGGCTGGGCGCAGGTGAGGCACCCAGAGGTGGTATCTGGAAAGAGGCAAAAGCTTTGAGCACAAATGCCCCCGAGCCCTCCCCATGCTCAACCAACCGGCCCCGGCAGCAGCAGCACATGCGGACAAATGCCCGGACGCAGCTGGCAGCCCACCTTGCCCCGCTGCCTGAGCCCATGCTGCCTCCCATCCATGTGCCAAGCCACGCATGGCTGCTGGAGTGAGGAGCACCAGAGACCTTCAGTGCCCAGGCCTGGCGCCAGGGTTTGGAGCTCAGGAGCTGCCCTCTGTGGCAGCCCCAGCCCGCAGGACCAGGACCCTTGCAAGGAGCCATCGATGAGGGGGAGCAGCTCGGCCAGCACTGGGCTCTGCTGCCCGGGTGTGCTGGCAGGGCTGGAGGCAGCTGCCCGGGGATGCTGATGCAGCAGATCAGGGCTAGCAGGAGGCGAGGGGAGAGGAACAGCACAGTATGCTCAGTTTGTGAGTGCTTGCAGGGCCTGCTCCGCCAGCTGCCTTCTCCATCGCAGGGTAATACCCCCTGAAACCCTCCCGTCCCCCCGCTGCAATCCTGGAGCTGGGGCTTCCCTGCTCTCTCTCATCCCCACATCAGCTTGGAACGCAGAATGGCCTCGACCCCTGTGCAAAGCCTTCCCTCCCCTGCCCTCCCCCAGTGCAAACGCTTCTCAGCTGAACCTTTCCCCGCTGCGGCAGGAGGGCAGCCGTGGAGGAGGATACGCGTGGGCAGGGAGCAGGGACATCGCGTCCGTTGGCCTTGCAGCGAAAATACCAGTGCCGAGCTGGGAGCAGCCTCCGGGCTGGCTTGAAAAATGGTCAGCAGGGACAAAACCCCTACCCCGAGCCTGGCTGTGCCCGCAGCCCCGGCCAGCCGGGGCGGAGGGGAGAGCCCTCCCTGCCTGGAGCATCCCAACAGCCCCAGGACGCCTGCCCCAAATCTCAGGGCTCCTCAGCCCTGCCGTGGCCAGCGGGTGCTGCTGTGCCAGTCCCCCTCACAGCCATGGGGTAAGAGCAGCCGAGCCAGGGGCTGCTGTGCCCTGGCCACGGGATGCTCTGCAAGAGCAGGGTAGGGTCCTGCAGCCGAAAAATGGAGGGGGAAGGTGTTGGGGCAACGCTGGGAGACCTGGCAACCAAAGAGGACCTCAGGCCTCTATGCCAACCCCTATGGCACCCCAGGCACTGCTCTCCTATACGTAACACAGCCCAGGGGCAATACAGGGAGACTCTTTTGAGAGGTAGGGAGCGAGTGAAGCATGGACCAGGGCCAGACAGCAGCAGGAGCTGCTGGAGAAGCAGGGACCCGACTGCTCCAGCCACCAGCCCACAAGCCAGCATCTCTCTGCATTTGCACAGTGAACAAGAAAGGCTCCCCGCAGAAAAAAAAGGGCAACAAGAAGCGCTGCACAGCGACTGCGCACGTCATTATCCAGGAGCATCTGGAGGAGACTTGACACGGGCTGCCCAGGCCAGCTGCTGCGGCAAACAAAGATCGCATTGCCACCGGCATCAGCACAGGGACACGTTTGGCAGCAGCTGCCTGGCCCCGAGGCCACGCAGGGTGGGGAACGTGCCCTGCGCTCCTGCCTGCTCCTGCTTGCGGGCAGGAGGGACCCAGCCCACAGCACAGCCCGTGCCCGCTTATGGCTGAACCACACCTCTGCGCAGCTTGCCAGGGGCTTTGGAAAGCCCAGCGCCCGCCACCGCAGGGTTAAAATCCAACAAGTCATTCACCTTAAATACCAGTGCAGCGATACATCTGTCCTGGCTCTTGGCAGCTCTTGGCTTTAGAGCCGAAGCGTTTGTTGCACTATCAGAAACACGGGTTTGCCCTTTAGCTTCCACAGCCAACAAGTCAGATGTCCGCGCGTGAAGCTGACTCAGGAGCGAGGACAAGACCCCCGGGGACATTTTGGTCACAGGCACCACAGACAGCTCCAGGTTACCCAGGGGAAGATGGCTCAGACACAGGAGCTTGGTGCTGTCCCTCCCAAATCCTCCCTCGTGGCTCTGCCGCCGCACGAGCCCTCTCCCAGCCCTACGGGAGATGGAGGCCGGGCTCCCCATCACAACATCATCTGGTTTTCAGCTCATTTCTGGCCATTTCCTCCCTGCTTCCTCCTTCCCCGGCGCAAACCCCTCCGAGCAATGGGCTTCCCTTCTCAGGAGGGACAGGAGGAGCCCATGGGGCTGGTGTGTTCCTTGCCCTGTCCTCAGCCACAGGGACAGCCCCAGCATCTATGGGCAGGATGGGGACAAATGAGTGCCGCACTCCAGCTCCGGGAAAAGAGAAGATCCCAGGCTGGAAAGCAGGGGGAGAATATTGTCTTGGATTAAGCTCCCGGGCCCTGTGTGTTGCCATTTATGGCTGCACTTTCTGCTCCAAGCCTGATGCAAGACGTTGCAAGAGGGAAAGAAAGCAGACAGGAGACAGCCAGCCAGAAAGAGAAAAGCCAAGAGGAAAAGGGGAAGGAAGAAGCCTTTAAAAAAAGAATGAATAATAGTGTTGGGCAGAGTTTAGGAAAGCAAAGCAGCTGCTATGTTGGCAGCTCCCCTTCACCCCACTGCTGGGGCTCTCCGTCCTCCCACCAGCCAGAGCAGCAGCTGCTACAGGAGAGGGGTTTTCCTGCCCTGGGCGATGGCCCTGCCGGCCCCGGGCGCCTGGCGGGGATGTGCCTCGTCCAGGGGCAGCGCTTCGCAGGTCTGAACCCCCAGAGCGCAGGGAGCATCTGCTCCGACCAGTCCCCGCGTCACCGCTGCGGGCAAGGATGAGCCATGGAGCGGCCAGCGCCCCGCTGAAGCTCCGCGGCCATCCGGCCCCAGCGCGGGGTCAGGCAGCACCAGGTCTGATTAGGAAAGCACTGGTGCATCCCATGGCAGGGTGAGGAGTCCCAGCTCAGCAGCACCCGTCCCCACAGCCAGTGTCACGCTCCGGCGCGGCACCCGCAGCAGTGCACCCAGCCGGCTCGTCCGGTGCTCGTCCCTTTTTGCTCCGGCCTCTGGCAAGCAAATGCCACAGGCACCAACACTGGGACATCTCCTGCTGCCACAGATGGGCCCTGGGGCAGGGAGCAGGGGCACGCAAAGCCTGCCCTCGCCCCACAGCCCTACCCAGCGGCCGTTCACGGGAGTGGGCGCTTCAGAAGGCAAAGAGCCCTTGTGGCCTCTGCTCCAGCAGCGCGCAGGCTCTGGGCAGGCTCCCGAGGCCGTACCCTGCCCAGAAGGGATGGAGCCGCAGCCCAACCTCCCCGACCCACTGCAGGGGACACAACGTAAAGCCCAACGCAGCCGTGCCCCACACTTTGTCCCAGCACCAGCCGCATGCTCCAACCCCGTGACAGGGACAGAGGGGAGGGCACGACACGCATCCTGCCTTGCTTCTCAATTTGCAGACGCTGCAAGAGATGATGCATTCGTTATTGGCACAGGCTGCACTGGGTGAGAGCCAGGGCACATCCGAGCAGTTACGGGCCTGGCAGCAGAGCCCTGCATCCCGCTGGCAGGGGCCTGTGCCGCTGCCGAGGCTGCGGCGAGGGGTAGCACATCCCCACGTCCCTCCCCACCGTGCTGCGACGGGAGCTCCTGCCCCAGCCCTGCGCAGCGCGGAGGCAGCCTGCGCAGCTGCCAATTAAAGCCAGATTAATTAGACACCCTGTCCCCTCCGGCACCGGGAAGGCAGGCAGGAGGCGTCAGAGGGGGAGATGCTGACGACTTAAACTTAAAGAGAGCCCCTGCTGGGAGTTTGTGCGTCTGCTGCCTGGTGTGTCCGGGCGCTGGGAGCCCCCAGGGAGGCACAGCGGGGGGCGTGGGGCACAGGGGAGAGGTGCTGGGAGCTTTGCAGAGGGGGCAGGGGACATCCCCTTCGTGCCCTTGCCATCCGGGTGACAGCACAGCACAGCACGCTGTCCCGAACACGCAGGGGTTGCAAGACTTTCCCTGGCCAGGACGAGCTGGGCACCTCTGAGCGCGAGGCCCCCCCTTGCCGGATCACCTCCAGAGCTGTCCCCGCTCCCCACTGTCACTCACTTGACCCTGCTCTGTTTGAAGCCACCAGCTGTGGTTAACCCTTGGCAAACCAGCCAGGCTGCCGTGCCTGGCAGAAAGCCTGGCACTGCCCGCTCACCCTCCCCATCTCCAGAGCATCCAGGCCAGGATGGCATCCCAGCGACGGCTTCGGACCACCGCTGAAAACCCTGCCCTGCCCCTGCCATCTGCCATTTCCATGACAGAAATACTCATTAGGTTTTCTGACCGTTTCTTGCAAGAACAAGCCTCGGCAGCCCCAGCGATGCTGCAGTTCCCGCCCAACAGCTTTTCATTAGGGGATCGCTTTGACAGCACTGCCTCACCCGTTAACAAGCTGGGGATGGGGATGAGAACAGACAGTGACACACTAATTAACTTTTTTTCCAGTGATGGGAGCCAGCAGAGACAAGGGGAACCACTACCAGCAGTTAATGGAAACAAGCACTCCCGGGCTCCTTTCCCTGCTTTGCCACTGCTTCATTTTACAGCCGCGGGCACGGCGCTGCAGCGGCCCGGTCCTCCCAGAGAGGGGCAGGGAGGCCTCGGCCCACGCTGATGCTAGCGGCCAGTTGTGCACCGCAGGCTGCCCTGGCCGGAGCTGGGAGCGGGAGGGAGGCTGAGCCACACCGCTGCCCCAGCTCAGGCTGCTCAGCCGGTACTGGTTTGCACGGGCAGGGAAGGAAGGAGGCATCGGGGTGCACAGCTCCAGCCAGCCATTAAACGCACCGCGGCTGCTCTCCCTGAGCAGCTTCATCCATCGGCACTTTGGTCGAGTCGTTAATGGCTGCCGTGAATCTGAAGCAGCCCGGCGCAGTACGTGCTGAGCAAACAGGAGGGGAAAAAAGCAAAAGAAAAGAAAGCTCTCCGAGTGCCTAGCACAGCCCTCTGCTCGCCAATGTACCGAGCCAACCAAGAAGCCCTGAGCCTGCAGCAGCCCCGATGCTGCCGTCAGCCCGCAGCCGAGCGGACGGCGTCCGAGAGCCTCGTCTGCTGAGTCACATCAGGGGACCGCAGCCCTCAGCCGAGCCAGGACGGGTTTGATAGGGCGCGTTCCCACCAGCAGCCGCCTGCAGAGCGCTCGCTGCTCTGCCCAAGGCCAGTCCCATCCATGCCTGTAACATCTGCTGGGCTTTGGCCTAAGCAGCGCTGGAGGAGG